AAAAATAAAAAATAAAAAATAAAAAATAAAAAATAAAAAATAAAAAATAAAAAATAAAAAAGCAGCAAACTGCAATCACTGTGCTGCCACTTCTTTGAGGAAACTAAACAAGCATCAGAAGGGGATCCTGGAGTTATCTCCCTTTGAAAGAGGCCTGGCAAACATGTAGAGAGATTTCTCTGCAGCAGCCTACCCAGGATAGGGATAGAAAAGTGCAAAGTCTTGGGAAGGTAACAAAATTTCACTTGCAGGGAAACAGGCCCTCATGCTTAGAGGGGTCCTTGTAGAGAGCAGCTCCTCCCTAAACACACATACGTTCTTGCCCCATCATCCAGGGCTCAGGAACAAACCGCTTTAAGTTTCTGGTCTCTTTTCTGCAGCTTGGYGCAATGAAAACCTCTCTTATCAATCCGAGCACTGTTCACACAATCCCACGCTATTATATAGATTCTTTTCTGATTTGTGGCTGGCAATTCTCCACATACACAATACCAAACGCCAGCTAGCGCCTGTGGCCCTGCCTTCCATGTAGAAATCACAGCACAACTCTGAACAGGAGAAATGCTACAGATCATGTACAAAAACATCACACAGTCCTTCAAGTGCCTCTTCTCCCTGTTCCCCAACGAAGAGTTGGCACCTTAGGAGATATAGCAGAGAGTGGGGAAGGATTTGGAAAGAAGCACAAAACAAGGGGTGGCCGTGGCTCTCACGGGGCACATTCCCAGGACGTTTTTCACCTAATCCAGTACACCAGTGTCTTACCTCCTGAAAGTTATGCTGGGTGAACTTGTCCGCGATCCTCAGCAGCTCTCGGCACGAGTGYGTGTCAGCAAAAGCTCGGATGCCCAGGCAATTGGAAGGATCCAGTTGTCTTTTAAGGAACTCGCAGCAGGCCTCCTGGATCTCAGCCAGCTGCAGAAGGCAGGCGGCCGGGAGCAAGGTCTGGACGTTCCCCTCCTCGACGGTGATCTGCGAGGTGTAGGCAAAGTCAATGAGCAGCTCCATGGCCCTTTCGTCGATGTCTCGGATCACGACCTCTGTCTGGCGGCTCTCGGCGAGCTCCCCGGTGAACATGGCTCGGAAGTAGGGGCTGCAGGCGGACAGAATCACCCTGTGCGCGTAGATCTTCTTGGCGCCCACTACGAGCACCACATCGCAGAGCTCCCGGTGCTTCCGCAGCAGGTTGATCACTTCCAGGGTTTGCCGAGGGTGCTTGTCGGAGATGTAGGGCATGCGGGCGGGCTGCGGCACCCCCTCGGGCAGCTTGTTGGGATCTCCGAGGGTGCAACGGCTCGTCACGTCCATTCCGGTCTCTCCTGGCCGAGTACTAGTGCACCTGCAAGGCAGCAAGCCATGAGGCAGGACCAGCACCAACACGTTTATCTGCAAACACCATCCACGCTCGTGTCACTTAGGACCACGAGGCAGTGGGGACCCCAGCGTGAGCTACAAGGTGGAAATGAACACACGTGCCCCCCAGAAAAAGAATGTGCCTCAGCCGCCAGTGTTCTTAGAAATAACAACTGCCAAATGAAACAGGCTTGTATTTATACCTATTTCTATATGCTTTCTATGACACACTGCTGTAATATTCCAAGTGCACATACATATTTATTAACTGAACCTCATTATAGCACTGTGAGTTAGAAGGACATTATCCTCATTTCATAGATAGTGAGTCAAAGCAGAGATGATGAACTGACTTGCCCGGTGTCATGATGGTTTTTTTCTGTATTTTTTCTTCCTGCCAGAGCAGGAGATGGATTTCCACTGTGAAGTGTAATTCTAGTTATCTGCTTTAACTAAACTTCTCTGTTCTTCCACCTGCCATTTCGATAGGGCCACTTATCACTGCGATACCTGAACACAGCAAACTGCCACACAGACTTCATAAGTTAAAAGTGCCCTGCAGCTCACCACAAATATATTTCAGGTTCACAGATCATTCATTTAATCATTACCTCCTCAGTTATTTTGAGTTATGGGCAGTTCTGACCCCATCCACCTTCCTCAGCACGTTTCAAAAGAAGTTTAATCTTTCCGAAGAATGGCAGGCTAAGAACTGCAGAATGCAATCAGGATTATTAGACCAAACAAGGATAAAAATAAAACAATTAAGGCATTTCCGACTGCTGGGCTACCACAAAAGGAAGAAAATACAGTTACAATGATAACTTCGGAAAGGAAGAGCCATTTAGAGAAACGTAAACTAGGTCTCCAGCACAGAGCAGGGAAAGAGGACTGCACTCGTAGCTCCATGTGCAGAGCTGCACCTATTCACTGTCCTTCTAAGACTTTGGGTGCCTTGCCTTTATTCCTCAAGACCTCACCTTGCAAAAACACTGAGCTCAGTACTAAGTGAAAAGAATTCAACCTACTTCTGCATTGGGCAGTTAGGCTGATTTTGCAGGTATCAGCACACGCTTACTTGAGGCGACACTTTGGATAGCTGGGGCATATTTGTATTTTTGGCAAATACCGCACGCACAATTATAAAAATAAGCATCAGCACCAGTGAGATTTCAATTATTATGAAAACAATGTAAAAGCAGGGATTTCTTGCCTCTATCCACTCCACAGGGAAAACATCACCTAGGGCAACTAAAGTACGCAGAGCCAAGTGTCAGAATATTGATGGTTATGAATTATCCAGTGAAAGCATTGCTGCTTGGAGACACTGAAAAACCCATCTTCCCCATTTCCAACTTTTTTTTTTTCTTTTTAAATACACTGGTGTTTTTGAGCAGTCACTAGCTCACTTTGCCTATATTAAGAGTTAAGCAAATATCCACCTTCACTCCGCCTTTGCTCAAAATATTTTGCAGCATACTCAAAGGCAAGAATTAAAAAATAACTCACATCCTCTCCTCTCATTATTATGTCAAACACACYTTCTAACCACAGGGAAACGGGTCTCTTTGCAGCAGTTCAGATTATGCACTCACATCCCAAGCTGTTTTCCCGTTCCCCCCACACCCTGCCCTTGATCATCAAATTCAGATGTTTCAGACCATTACCTTTTCCTCATATCTTGGCTCCACAGATCCAGCTGGGTCTCCCCTCTGGGTTTTGCTGTTTGCTCCTGTTCAGCCTCAGTACCTTAAATACCTTGATTTTTATCCCTACTCTGTCCTTTTTATATCCATCACTGTTCTCCTTTTCCGACAGCCCTGACAAATCCTTTTGCTGTGATACTGCCTCTCACGCTCCTCTCCTATGCCCACTTTTCCTTCACAACCCAAATCCACCTCGTGAGGCTCAACAGTCTTTTTCAGAGGCGTGCTAAATTCCCCACCATGTGGGTAAACTCTCCTTACAGCAACGCATACAAACTAGGTTCAACGGTACCCCCACAAAAGCCCAAGAAATCTTGGCTAAAGATTAATTAACCTGCCTAACTGGTTTACTTTCATATTCCTTAGCAGCTTAGGCTGCAGGGTAATTTAATCCCTCTACCAAGAGAAGAAGAAAGGGACTCGAAACGTGGGGAAAAAAAATCCCCTTGTACAAAGTCTAGTTCCTGCTAAGCAAGCCAAATAGCTTTAAACCCCCAAAGCACAATAAAATCTACGTCAAACCCCTAAGAAATAAAAAATTAACCATGAGTAAGACACAGGCTACTGTAATTCCATCATGACCAGACCCTCTCTCAAAGCATCTTCTAAGCAGGACACAGGCATCCTGCAAACATAAAAAACATTTCACGCAATTACTGCTCACGAAGGAGGGTATACTACCCATATCTCCTTTATAAATAAACAAAYAAAYAAATAAATAAATAAATAAATACCAGGCTTTCCTCAAACGTGAAGTACTCCCTAAAAAGAGCMTTAAAGCTGCTCAGAAACTCTTGGAGTGCCACAGATTCTGCCTTTAAAATGGATTAGCTTAAAATTATGGAAAAAAATACAAGAAATGTGGTGTACCTTGTCAATCCCACTGTCCAGAAATCCTGGTTGACATTGAGCGGTAAGTAATAGACTGACTTTAGGATATGTGGTTACTTGGCTGGATTTGGGCAATAGAAATCCTTGTCCTTTCCTAACTCATTCTTTCCTAGCTAGGAGAAAATAGGGTTTTCTCCCCAAATTAGGGTCCATTGAACTCTCCTCAAATTAACTAACTGAAAAGGAGTCTTTACAGACATTCCTGCATTGTTTTCAATATCATTCACCCAAACGCCTACACAGGCACCTAATATTTTTGGAAAAACTATGTAAAAGCTTCCTTGCACTCACACACTAGAACAAACATCAAGAAACTTAAAAAACGTTGGTATCCTTCCTCAAGGAAAGGAAGTGCTGGTTAATGATTAAAGGGAATTGAATGGATGGAAAAGAAAAAGAGCACCCTGGATTTGCCCGTAACTTATCCCTGGGTTAAGGCAGAAGCCAAGATCCACTGGGTTTGGGAATTTCCGTAGAGGATCAAGCCGGGTGCTGATGATGGGCACTGSGGGAGGCCGCCCTACCCAGGCACAGGAGAGTGAATTAAAAGGACAGTGGCTGGTGGCCTGTGTCTCCACGAGGACACTAATTTAACTGCGCTGTGTGTGCATTATGCAGATATATGCATAGGGAAGGAAACGGTGACTCAGTAGCTTCGAGGTGTGAAAGACAGAAGGCAGCACTTGATTCTCACATGCTAGGCTGGCTGCCTCCCCCTCACACACAGAGAAAGCTAAGAGCTGCTCCTGAATAMCCAGGGTGATTAAAGGAGTCGAGGATCAGAGAGGAAATGTGTCTGCGAGGATAAAAGAATCGCACTCAGCTATGCAGATATTCTGGGATTAGCTTCCATCAAAATGCAGGGCTGGGGAAATCTGCRGCTACGATGGGATTAAGAAAGAGCTGACAAAGGATCGGTTTTTGTAGCACGCTGCTGAAAAGTACAACTGGGAACACAGGCAGCCTGCAGCACTAACTCAGCTAAATAAATAGGCTGCTCTGCCTCCATTTTACTCAGCTATGTCAGTTCCCAGAAATTTGTGAAATTCATTCACACAGTTCACACAGGCTTTTATAAGACACCCATCCTTAGAGCACAGAGTAGCTTTTTTAAAATTAGAGAGAGGAAAATAAATAAATAAATAAATAAAGGAAGGAAGCAAAATCTGCGATTAGGTATGTAAGGAAAACATGCCTCAATATTGTCTTACAGTTGCTTAACTTTCAGGTCAGAGATAGCAGCCTTTTTTTTGGTTTATGTTTTAGTGCAAGAGTACAAAAAAACTCCAGCATAGCTTAGCAGAAAACATTAGGCTAACCCAAGGCCTGTGATAAGACCAAGTCACAGGCTGAGAACAAAATCATGCTTGGCTCTTTTCTTAACAAAACAGCAATTTTAGATGTACCTTCTCAAAACATCTGAGTTAGGCAAGCAAGCAGATAAACCTAACTGCRGCATCATTCTGAATTACTGAGAATGGGACTGTAATGATCCTACTTCACCATACACATTAACACGTTCCTATTTACATTTAGCTTGATTTTTCACTGACCAAATCCAGAGAACTCTGCATTTTCACCAAGAATGACAATGTCCATATGCAAAAAGATGAACTCATTGCTGCAGTCCTCCAATTAACTCCCTAAACCTCTGCAGCTCATCTAGGGAAGAGCTCCTGTTTGAACTTCAGTGTGTTTTCTCTAACCTTGACAGGAACAGCTGCAATTCATTTTTTTTTTTTTTGTTCAAAATCTTTGTTCTTTTTCTTCCCACCTTCAAAGTCCTGATAACCAAGTCACCATCTTCACCCACATGGTGCAGAATAAACCTGAACTCGCTCATCTTGTGGCCCCTGGCAGGGCTCCCACGCAGCACTGTGTGAGCAGAGGCCATAGCAAAAGGATTTTAAAAGACCTGAGAGCCTGAAACCCAATCAGAAAACTTCTTTTTGTTGTTGATGTTGCTGTTTATAAAACAAGCAGTATAATAAAAAATGGGAATTTTAACAATCCACAAAGGCCCTTTCAGTATACAAGTATATTCAAGATCTGAAGATCTYCAGCCCATTATAGATCTGTATCTGTCTGGCTCAGCTTCAGCACTAAARCACATCCAGGCACAAAGCTCAGCTGAAGGGCTAGTCCCCCCAAAATAAAGGGCCTGTAAGYACATCACACTTGTTAACCCATGCTCTACACTGGGTTGCCATAGAGAGAGGGAAAATGAAAAGACGAAAAGATCCGTTCTGCATCCCTGATACAAATTTTAAAAATTAAGAAAATCCCCTGAAGCTCCAGGGTCAGAACTACCAAAAACTACCCCTGCCTGAGTGACACACAGAACCTCTGAGACAGCAAGCCTGAAACCACAGAACACAGCCACAAAAGACCTAGGAACCATTAACTTTAGTGCATTCATCTCCTGCCTCAATGCCACATGCAGAAAACAACAGACGTGAAAAAGTCATAATTTAGATTCTCAATTTTTCCACTGGGAGCACAAAAAAATAAAAGAGAGAAAATGAGAATGCAGCAAGGTAGTCACCAACTGGATGTCACTTTGGGAAACACTTTGATAAATGGAGTACCACATAAGAACCTGCAAAAACGTGGTCTTACATTGGTTAGGAAGATTTAAACAGTCTCGGTGGTAGAAGTCTGAGACTGAAGAGATTTCATCTGCTACTTAACCTGTCTTGAAGAAAAAGGAACTCATCGTAAGAAGTCTCATGCAGCTCCTCATCGTCTCAAACAGAATCCTTATCTGGGTAAAATACCGAACAACACACAGCACCAGGGATGCCCATGTCATGGCCCACGGTTTATTCATTAGCTTATCTGAAGCAATGGCACAAACAGTCTTTTCTGTTGTGCTTGAAGGGTTCATTTAATTTAACAACATAGTCTCCTTTGACAGGGGCTTAACTGGCTATTTATTCCTTGCCTCCTGCTACAAGGCAGAACTCATTCTGCAAATGCTGTTGCCAAAAACCTCTCTACATATTCATTTATGGTAAAGTTCCTTGCCTTCTTCTGCATTAGTGTTTGTTTTTAATAAAGCAAACTGCAAGCTGCATGATTTTAAGAAAGTTTTCCCATTTCTGACATCCTAAAAGTTAGACGAGGTGATTTGCACAGATTCTCTTTCCTCTGCATTTGGTGGTGCAAAACTTGGCTTCCACTCACTGTCTCAAGATGCAAAAATATGCTCGCTGTGAAGTTTTGCCATGGGATTGGCAACCGGTAGCGAAAAGCAACTGGAACTAGCAGATAATCCTGTTTGCCAGCTTGTCACCATCCCAATTTACTGTGACAACCTTTTTTTCCCCCCTCTCTATAAAGCAGGAAGTTTCTGACATAAGGAGAGCCAGAATTCCCCCGACTTAAACTTCTGCCACATCCTCAGCTCATTAGAACTGAAGTAACTGACAGCTGTAATTAGGAGAGGAAGTCCCTTCACCTGAGAYGCCATCCCATTACAGCAGCAAAACTCTGCTAGTTAGGATAAAAATACCCTAAAATACTCCAAAATCAAGTTTAAATATATTCCTAGGCAATTTATTTTGCAGAATCAGAACACATAAGTGAATTTAAAAAAAAATGAATTTTAAATGATAGTGAACTAGAGGAGGGAAAAAAAAAAAATCACCACTGAGAATTATGACAACTTATCTTCACTACTGTCTTTCCATAACAGCATATTCATTTAAAGGCATCCAGTGTTTTAAGTGCTGAAAACTTAGTACATGGAGCTAGAAAGTAAATATAAATGCTCTATATTCTAGCTTTCCTAATAAAATATTTAAATATATATATGCTCTAAATACTCATGAAAGAAAGCTGCGTAATTGAGCACACCTGGGTAAGAAAAAAGGAAATTATCTTCACATCTTACCTGCGCATTGGCTTTCCGTCCATGCACCGTGAAGAGAAACCTTCACCCACGCTTCAAGACCTGGTCTGAGGCAAGAAAAGGGAGATAAAAAGTGGGATATTCCACAGCGAGGGCACCTTCCTTCCTCGCTTCGGCACGGCTCTGCGAGGACAGCCTAAGTGACCACAGCCATGTAATAACAGGCCTTCAAGCTCTTATCCAGCTGTAAAATTCACAGCCTGGATTAACGATGCCTCGATTGCAGAGACCATAAAGCAGGAGAAAATATAATCATCATTAAAAGTAATCTTGCCACAGCTGCATAATGATTCTTTGGGCAAACAGAACACGCACGCCATAAATTCAGCAGGCTGCCTTCCCCCCTGGATCCTGTAGGTTATTTTACCAAAGAAAATAATACATATACCTAAATGTGAGGTAAGAAGATGCTCTCTCTCTCACACATACCTCAGTCAGAGGGAGGAAATCCCTCTCCCTCGTATATTTACCGCTGGTGCGTGGCCCGCAGCCTCTCYGTAGGGCTGGTGTCTGATGCCAGATCCCATGCCTGGGAATCGGGGCTATCCCGAGCCCCCGAGCCGGGCGCGGCGCTGCCTCCGCTGGGGTCAACGATCCAGCCAAAGCAGGTGGATTTCCGCGCGCCATAACGGCCACGACCCACAGAGCCCCTTCCCCATTCAAATATYGACTCCTAGCAGGGCCAAGCCGCTCTCCCCCATTGTTTTCCCACAAGGGCATCCTCCAGCTTGATCCCATTTTAACGAGCACTGAGTCAGGAGCAAGTTCAATTAAATCACTACTCAGAGCAGTAAGAGTTACCTTATCCATGTAATAAAAGCAGTAAGAGTCACCTTTTTCTTCAAGCAGCAAAAGACTACAGGCACAAGCACACTGATATCCCCAAAACCTTAATACCCCACACCGAAAGTAGCGCGCAAAAGAAAGGCGGATGACTCTCGGAAAGGCCCGGGCTGCCGCTGCGGGGCCGCGGCGCTCCCACGGGAGGGAAGGCGCCTTTCCCACAGGAGAAGCGGGCTCCGGTCGGCTCCAGCAGGCGCAGCGCGCTCTCCGCGCAGCGCAGGCCGCGGCGGCCGGGGGGGGGCGGGCACAGCCCGCACACAGGCCCCGGCACCGGC